TCGAGATCATGAAACAGACAAAAACATATGGATTTCAAGAGCAGTTCAATTCATCTAAAAGGTACATTAACTACTCTTTAGCCCCTATATATCGCCAGCCAAAAAGGTAAGAAAGCTTAGAAAATAATCTGTAGTCAGACAGCAAGACTTTTCCCTTCCTTGCTCTCAGTCAACCTTCTCCTATCAATGTATCTTTCATTTCACAAAAGCCTTAAAAATTTGCCTGTGACAAGACTTCTTTAGCCTAGTCACTCCCCAACTCTGTGGATCATCTTCTGGCAAATGTCACGACAGGCTCAGCAGTTCTGTGATTTGGATTGTATGACTGCAATCTGGAAAGGAACATAAATCACCAGAAATTCAGAGGCAAACACACTCCATCCCCTCTTTGAAGCTCAAAACAAGCAGCAGGTACATCAGCTGAGAGACCTTCCCTCTATGAGAGGAATTCCTACCTGACTCCCTGTAAGCAAATTCCCATGCCCTTGCAATTCTTTACCTATACAGACAGGGAAAAACAATATATGAAAATATCTTTGACCTAAAAAGTGCTTGAGACATGCATATGGAGAACTCAATTCATACCTGGAATGCAGGGGAAATAAATAATTAAAAAAAAAAAAAAAAGAACCCAGTCCACATAGATTGGCTGGCACTGGGTCTTGATTTGCTTATGCTGTTCACAGCAATTTTAAGCGCACACACACACGAAGACAAGTGGCTACATGTGATTTCTGCTATACGAAATGCTGCACAAGCCATGCTTTCTTTTGGAACACAAATAAACAAAAATGCTTTCTGCATTAATCAGCACATTGCCTATGAAAAAGCAGAGCCCAATTCAGCCTTGTGTAACTTCAACGCAGGTGAATTTGGCCCACTTATTGCAGAGGCGAAAAAGAAGGTTGCCTGCTTTTACCAACACAGCTAAAATAAACAGTAGCATAAGACAGTGTCATCATGCTCACACTACGCGTAGAAATCCTATTTAATCCAAGTAATGAGAAAAAGTTCACTAATGGAACCAAACTAATGACAAGATGCCTTTAAGATACATTACTTATGCAATACATTCCTGCATGCCATGCTTCACACAGACATTACTTACAGCCCATTTTAAGAAGTTATGATCAGACAATTCATTTATCAAAAAACCATCAGGGTTGCATCCTGCAAATTGGAATCAGGACTTCAAAATTATTGCAAGTACACCAGGACTATAACAACTTCATTAGCAAGAGAGCACAACATCAAGCATCTTATTGAAAAAGAAAAAAAAAAAGGAGGGGCAGGGGGAACACATCTTTGAATGCAAGCCTGTGACTACCATGAAAGTAACCAGAGGAAAGAAGACGCACACAGCTGCTCTGCTGTAGGCACCCATCTGAGGAAGAACTGTTATGTGGGTCATGGTTTCTGTCTCAGTCTCCTACCCTGCTCCAAGTCCACTTCAGTAACCTGCCCTCAATTCCAGCCAGCTCTGCCAGCTGCCACAGAAGCAATGAGATATCCTACGTTCTTTTCCTTTCTTCTTTTTCTTCTTGCTTCAAACCTCCATAGGTGGTTGGGAAGGAAGGGATAAGGGCAATTTCACAGCACTTGTTTCCTATACACCGTCCACCAGTGACGCAGAAAATGAAAGGAACTGAAGAGGGAATCCTGTTCTCTTATACACAGCTGCCTTGGGCAAGCTGCAAATCTGCTCTTTGGAGTTTCTCCCGTCCCCTACCCAGTTGTTTCTGGCTCCAAATAATGCCCCAGCATGCCCAAACACTGGAGACGGAGCACTCACATGCCCACGTGCCCATATTTCTCCCTGTAGAACTGTACTACCTGGAGATTATAGAACACAGAGCAATGTATTCCCAAGGTTCTGCTCTGCGAAATGAAAACTGACACCAGCTCTTTCTCCTCTTCCTTAGCTACCCTTGGGCACAGCTGGCCACAGTATGCTGTAGATCAGCAGCGGGTAATAGTCTGACAGGTCTCTGGGACTTCTTCATTATGTACAGACATGAATTGGTTAAACTTGCATTAGACACACAGCTTTTGAGGATTTCATTCCTGATTCCTCTGACAAAACTCTTACCCTTTCTTGTCTAGATAAGAAACTTCCAAAGAATTATTAAATTCATAGTGAAGCCAATGAGAATTCAACTTTTGAATTAAAGATAAATCTACATGGTCCTTCAGTCTTGGATGCAGCGGAGTTCTTCCTGCACAATGTAATTTCTAAATTCATGCAGCCCTACTTGTCAATGTCTTGGTGGAGAGGGTACATTGAGAGTGGGAAAAGCCACAGTGAAAGCTGACTGAACTTTGTCTTCTGGGCGGGGGACCAGTGCTGGTATCACTTCATATGATTCTGTTGTTCATATAAACTCAGCAAACCCACCTGACAGTTACATCTACACCACAATCAAGAAGTAGGAGCAAATCATCTAGTAGAGGTGTAGTATCTCAAAGATTGGCAGTAACAAAAGGTTATACTAGCTGTGAAGATGCCACAGAAGTGATTTCAGTTTGGACTGACTATTCAAGTAGGTTACTGGGCACACCAAAGGCTTTGCTACTCCATCTCTGTTGCTTTTATGTTATAACTGCATCTGTCAGTGGCACTGCTGACACACTTCAAAGATTGGGAGGATTAACAGAACTTTCACACCCACATGGCTGGGCATTCCCCAAATCCGAGACCATCTCCCTTGCCATGCTGCAAGATCAAGCTTTCAAACCGCTAAAATGGCAGACAACTGAAAATGCAATCCACACAGAGCTAATCGTGCTATTGGTGCACATTTTGCTATCCAGTCAAACTGGAACCAGCTCTAGCCTTGATCAATCACATCTTCCATTGAAGGAGAGCTGGTATATGCTTAATAAAAGTATGTGGGAAATACTGCAGTTATGCCAATTACTGTAAATTTTCAGCCATAATTTTTCAGTACTTTCATTGACTTCCATAACTAATCAGTTCCTAATGAAGTTAAGCTAACCCTCCTTCAGAAAAATAATTTTTAAAATATTTGACAAGGTTAAACAACTGTGATGACTTACCAGAAAAGTCACACACATGACTTCCTATATCACAGCTTCCCCCAGACTAAACCACCTTCTTTTCTTTTAAAATATATGGTATGTTTGGACCTACCTTGTCTGGGTTATCCGACACATCCAAGCAGTAATTCAATACTCACTTCTACTGTTCTAAAGTCTTTCTAAAATGTGCTTTCTTAGGAAATTTCCTCATTATAGCACAGAAACTGAAAATTAAAAAAACCCAAAGTTTCCAAACAGAATAATGGTCTGATATACCAAGCTAACTCCATGGACTGAGAAGTCAGAAGAAGAAAAGTATACCAAAAAGAAAATGTAAGTCCTTTAAAAGCTAACCTAGTACATGGTCCTAGCTTACGTGGTATTAGGTGCTTTGTAGATGAGTCCCCCAGAAACTAGCTTTTTAATGGGTACATGTCTGGGAGTAACAGAGGGAAGGACTGAGTACAAGGCTGGAGCCTCTCTCCATCTGTGAGAGGAAAATGAAGGATTTCCTCCATTGCTTGCCACCCCTGTCCCCCTCACAACAGCTGCCTAGTTTCTGTAACTGTCAAGGGGGTGGAAATATGCCAGAGCAGTTATGAGAAAGCTACCAAAGGAGTAATGTTTAGCACTGGAAGTTTGCAAAGAAAATTACCAGATCTTTTTGGGTCTGGTAGAAAGGATGAAAAACCTGGGTCTCAAGACTTCCCTCTGTATAATATAATGGCAAGCTCCCAGCTCTGAAAGGCAACACCTGGTGACAGAAAATGAGCAGTTCCAAAGGAGGCCATTAAGTTAGGAGTAAACCTGACAGTTTCCCACACAGTCCTTGTAGCTTAGAGCCTGTCAAATACAGCCCCATGGGGAACAAACTACGAGAGAGGTCCACAGAGTTGGATGTTACAGCGACCACTGTGATGATCTACAAACTTTTCAGACCAGCAAAACCGCTTCCAAACTCTTACCAGCCCACAATAGTGTAAAACTGAATCAAAAACTCTATAGTACTGAGGTTGACTTATAAGGCTTAAGATCATTCTGCTGCTCTCATCTGTAAGGGTTCATAATGGCTTTGCAGATCATAATCTGGGAACCCCAGGTCCTCACTCTGAAGAGGACAATATGTACTTATTTCCCAGGCACAAGAAATTAAGATGCTGCAGAACTGATGTCATTCTAAGAAATTAAGTCAAAACCTTAAAGCAGTAAGTCACCTTTTTTGCTTTCCAATGAGGGAAAGGAGTATCAGGTTAATGTGTGATCCACAACACTTATTTTCCCCAGCTGAAAAGCCATGCAGATGTGCCCCAGAGGGCTACTCAAGTTTACTGCTTTTCTCTGCAACAGGCTTGAGGAGAAGTGGAGCTTTTCACATACCCTTCTGATCACTGCATGGAGCAGGGAAAGACTATGACTTTCAGGACTTCTGACCACGAGCTGGGAATGCAGTCCTTCTCCTCCCCACAACAGATTGCCAAAAGGAGCTGCAAGCAGCCACACTCATCCTGGATAGCATCCCAAGAGCTGGGTAACCACAAAGCTAATGAGAGAAAACACACCAGAAAACAGGCAACCCTGTCTGCAATCCTGAGACAGCTCTTTCACTCATCACTTCACAGGGGAGAGTGGTCAAATATTCCCAGCCAGGTCTACAATATAAAACCACACAAGTCTATTATGTGTCCTTCCCAGACAGAGATTTGAATTTTCCACAGTGGGCACTTAACCAAGCCACAGCCAGCTGAATGAAGAACTGAGTTTTAATCTTATACCGCAACTCTCAGATGTGCAGCAGAGCTCTCCTACATATTTTTCCTCTTACCAATATACAAGATTCCTACTGAAACCTAACCCTCATGTTGAGGAGGGATACAGATTTAAAGAAACCTTACGTATTTCCTAGAGACATTCTCTGCAGACCTCTTGAAAAAAATTTTGCCCAGAATATTTAAAAAAATCTTTTATAAAAGAAAATTTACTCTAGTGTAAACTATGACTTATCAGCTTTGTAAATCTGCACACAACAGGTGGGCTTAGCAAAGATGCCCCAACACAGGTGAGCAGAGGCTCAGATGAATGGGGTAACATTTCAGATTCCAGACCATATAATTTGGTAACACTTTCTAGTTATACATTAAAGGTAACAGTCCCAAGTACTGTTTAAATTTATTTTTTCTGAACTCAATCCATCATGACTTATGCCAGCAGCAAAGAAATCATGTGTCTTCTGGAAACTTTCTGCCTTCTCCCTCTTACACATTCAGTATTTCCACTTACATTGTCACCTTCACTCCTCAGTTTCCAGAACGGCTGGATATAAAACCAGGATCCCTCATTCCCTGCAGCATCCAGAGACACCCGCATAGCATTCTTCTCTAGCAGAGCCGGCAATCTCTTATTGACCGTGAGGTACTTGTTACTTTTTATGTGTAGTAGCTGTGAACAAACATTAAAAAAATTAGTACAGCTATTAGTTATCCTCCCTTCAGTCAAAAGAGGAGGGCACAGGCTTTCACATTGTAGTGATTTTTCATAAAGTCAAAATAAAACTAGAAGAGAGTTACCAAAGTATACTGCAGTTTAGGAAAAGAGATGCTATATCTCAGATTGAGAGAAATGCGTCAATCAGTTTAACATATACTACATAGGTAGGGCAAGGGTCCATTATTAGTGTTACCTTCAGGAATTTCAACCATTACAGGAAAGCTGTACTGCACTTAAGAACATAACTTCTGTCTCATTTATATGTCATGAAGTACAAATGACTTCAGTGATTTAAAATGCGCTGCACAGCACCTCTATAATATGATTTTGAAATAAATCTTGAAAATAAGAGACACATATTTACATTCAGATTCTAAACCTCAGCAGCAAAAGTTACACATAAAATTTATATTATGACATATTATTTAAACATGAATATGCAGCACTTCTGGTAGGCTTTAAAACAGACAGAAAAACACAATATTGTAAACTTCACCAAGTTCTGTTTACCTGACCCTTGACAATCCAGATTACAGTGGTTAGTTTCATTTTCACTGTAACCTTGAAATGAAACAACTGTTCCCTTTCCAGCTCTGAGAGAAGGCAGATGAATTTCAATAGGTTTACCTGTATGACATTGCTATATTTTACAATTTCGCCCAACAGCTTTCTGTTCTCGCTTTCATTCTGCTTTTGTTCCAGTTCTGCTGCATGCTGCAAGAAAACGATTATTTCTTTAAACTCTAAAAAGTCAGTACCTGTATTCAGCTACTAGAACAGACAGTGTAAAAAGGAAATGGCATCACATTTAAAATGTTTCCTCCAACCTGCAAGCATTACTGCAGTGAAAATATTAGCACCCAAATCCTGCCGCAGCATAATTTTCTGAATTATAATCGCCCAGATCCTGTGTAATGATTCTGGTTTTTTTATCACCCAGAATAGAAACTCAGTCACAATTTACGGGTCACACCTGAGATGCATGCTATTTTAAAAATTTCCAAGCACAAAAAGAAATTCCAGGTGCTTTATTTCATCCTGAAAGAGGAAAAAGAAGGGCCTATGATTAGCTTCTCCCTGTCACCATTCCTTTTACTTGTTGGGTTTTTAATTGCATACAATACATGGACTTTTATACATAACAATCTAGTAGGTCACACATTGCAAAATCAAGGCTAAGCACAATAGTCTGAGTCACACATAGCCACAGAACAAACCCTCAGCTCCTAGCTCTAATTGCTGTGTAGCTAGCTCTAGCCACACACCATGTGCCTTCCTTGCTGTTCTTAACTGGAAGCTCTGGCAGCCGCTCCACGGCATGTGAACCTATCAACCAAGTTTGATATGACCTTGTTTTCACTAAGTCTTATGCATTCAGTTATAAGATCAGGACAGATCTTTTTCAGAGACAGAGGAGTTGGTTCATCCAGACTGTATTTGATGCAAAATAGAGTCTGCGCAATGGTTCAGAGAAGAATCACCTAGACTGAAAGCAGAGACAACCAATTCTGAGGAATTTCCAAACTAAAGTGTTGATAACATCTCTTTGTCCACCCTTCTGCCTAACTCCTGAAAAGGACTCCTAAAATAATAGCATGGTTTAAGCCAGGGCCCACCCCTGATTTTAACAACTCCGTTTTTACTTTATAAAACTTCTGAAAGCAATGTTTTGCTTATATCAAAGGCACAACCTCCAGCCCAAAGTAAGATAAAAACCACGGTAAAGGCAATAAATGCCAGTCAGGAGGCAGAGAAGCTAAGGATAATATAAAGTTGCTATGGTGGCATAATAGCAGCCATCACAGTGGTTTCCAAGGCACTTATTCTTTCTCATTCTATTGTAATTCTACAGCCTGCAGATTGAGATAAGATTACAAATACAGATGTCTCTTACTTGAAGTTTCTTCAGCAATGCTGCTTCTGTATGGTTTCCTTGTTTGGCTTGCTTGGCTTTCCAGTACTGCTTCTGGGCTGAATATCGGTTCATAGGACACACCTTGAATAGGCAGTCTGTGGAAGATTGAAAGAAATACTCATAAGCGATCTTGAAAGACACTTCCTTCATTTTTAAGAATGCTTTGGTTGGTTTCCTTTTCCAGAAATGCCTAGATACCAGTGTTTAAACATAGTCACCAAACAGCTTGATGGCAAGGGTACCATAAACAGGTTGGCAGAACATCTGAGTTGAACCTAAAGCCTTCAATGCCCCACACATGCCCACTGCATACAACCTTGGTAAGAGATCCAGGCTGTGAGCCTGCCATATGCAAAACTGCCTGCTGCTTTATTAGTATTCTTTGCTGCAGCACAAGATTACAGATGCACTGTTTGAAGGCATGTGAAACCTTCAAAACACAGTCCTGCTTTCTGTATGCCATACATCTGGCTGCCCTGCTCCTTCTTTGGTCGACAGCCAGCTGAACATGAGCCAGCAGTGTGCCCAGGTGGCCAAGGCGGCCAACAGCATCCTGGCTTGCATCAGAAATAGCGTGGCCAGTAGGTCTAGGGAAGTGATCATCCCTTTGTACTCTGCGCTGGTGAGGCCGCACCTCGAATACTGTGTCCAGTTTTGGGCCCCTCACTACAAGAAGGACATTGAGCTGCTGGAGCGTGTCCAGAGAAGAGCAGCAAAGGTGGTGAACGGCTCTGATGAGGAGCGGCTGAGGGAGCTGGGGTTGTTTAGCCTGGAGAAGAGGAGGCTGAGGGGAGACCTGATCACCCTCTACAACTACCTGAAAGGAGGTTGTAGCGAGGTGGGGGTTGGTCTCTTCTCCCCGATAGCTAGCGATAGGTCAAAAGGAAACGGTCTCAAGTTGCACCAGGGGAAGTTCAGGCTGGATATTAGGACAAACTTCCTCACTGTCAGAGTCGTTAGGCATCGGAACGGGCTCACCAGGGAGGTGGTGGACTCATTATCCCTGGAGGTGTTCAAAAAACGTTTAGATGTGGCACTTCGATACATGATTTAGTGGGCTTAGCGGGCAGGGTGACATCGGGTATACAGTTGGACTTGATGATCTTTGAGGTCTCGTCCAACCATAATGATTCTATGATTCTATGATTCTGGCACTGCTGAAACACAAGATTGCATGGGCGTTCGGCTGCAAGCCACCAAGGAGGTTAACGCGGTATTCAGAGTCTACATGTGCCTTCACTAAGATTGATAAAAAAAACTAACAGTAAAAACAAAGTGACACAAACTGAAAACCACTGCCATCCAACAGACTAGGTGAAAAATGGGTAAGAAGGGAAGGAAGGAAGGCCACCCAAGAGGAACTGCCCGAGCAGGCTGGCTGCACAGAGGTCAACAGAGGAGGAGGAACACCCTGAGGAGACTGCAGCCAACGGTGCAGTCGTGGAGTAAGAAACAAGGAGCAGCAACGGAAAGCGAGTCGCCACACACCGACCCCCATCCCCAACCTATCGCCTCCCTGCGGGGGCCATGTGCAGTGAGGGGGTTGGGGACTAGGAAGTGGAAGAGATGTGTCCGGAGGGAAGTCAAGGGGTCCTTCCCTAAGTGCTTGTTCAATTGTTCACCTTTATTTCCAAATACCAAAATCAATAATTGAAAGTTAATGTTAATTGGCAAGAAACTAAATTTTGTGAAATTCCCTGACTCAAGACTCTTTGGGCCAGTGACAGTCCTATAGACTGGAAATAGAGGCTCATGATTTGTCTAAATCCGACTGCTTTTAGAGTGATAAACAATACCTAGTCTTGCATGGTCCCAATCACCAGCTGCTCTAAAAGCTAGGCTTGAGCAAATGTTGGTAATTGTCCTTTCACACCCCATGTGTATCAACTCGCAAGAGGAACGGACAGGAAAGTATTAATTAGCAGAGTTCTGCTGTGAGTCTAGTAATAACATACAGGATTAGATGTGTATTATAGCACGAAACTTCCCCAACATGGGTTGCAACTTACAGATGTCTTACTATTAGCCCTCCATATTCAACTGTCACAGAGGGTCAAGCACTCTGAGGACTAATCCACTTGCAGAGAAAAATGACCTCTGAAGAATTTCCTCCCTGCTCCATGTCAGGGTCTCAGGAAGGTAGAGACAGGAGGGAAGCAACTATTCCCACCTGACCCCCAGCCATGCAACCGTGGCACAAGCTAGAGGCAGGTAATAGAGGCAATGTGTCCTACTTAGAAGAGATTTTGCCCCAGGGTTGGATTAAGAATAGAAGAGTTCCTCTTCTGATCCCACAAGCACATCTTGCAGGTGCTGACACCTGAGTCTGGCCAGAATCAGCAGCATCACTTCTCTGCTGGTTATCAGGCAACTTTCCCACAAAGAAGAGACTCTGCAACACCACTGGAAAGCCACATTTCACAGAGTATGGCACAGACAGTGCTCCTCACAAAAATACAGAAAAGAGAAAAAGAGGAGAATGCTATCTCCATGTGAGCAACATGAAGTTCTTATTTACCACCACACTCAACACAGTTAATGGCATACATATCACATAGCACAGAACAATTTGAAAACAGTCCTCTCTACCCTCAGCTCACCTGCTGCCTTCTCCAAAGAGAGTTCCTTTCCAACAGCACTGTGTAGTCACCCTCACCTCTGTTATCAAAGGTGCCACAACATGAAATAACAGCTGCAATATCAACACTAAGTACACATTCCAGTTACACACTGGATCAATGTGTAGGTGACCCTGTTGAATTTACCAACCTTGCATGTAATTTTTAAATACAGTGTAATCTCATCATTCACCCATTACTGTCACAAAGATGTCAGCTGGGGAAGCTACAGGAAGCTATCCCAAAGTCATAGTCTGGGTTTTCAACCACTCAGGTCAGCAGCAGACAGTTTCTATTTTACAGTGCTGTCCTACCCACTATCTAATTCCCAGAGTAAGTTTAACATCTGCCATTGCTAACTTACCTAGGACTTGCTCCAGCTCTTCAGTCCACAACAGCTCATGTGGGAAGTCCTGTCTATCACACATGTGATGAGAAAAGTTTCCTAACTGTTCCACCCTTATGAGCGAAGAATTCAAGTGTCAAACTCTCAACCTCTCTGTAGAAGATGCTAGATACCAAGGTAGATCCTGTTCTCAGTTTCAACACTGTCAGTCCAATGGAATTACTCTTTCACACAGGGAGAGAGGAGCTAAACCTCTGAGATATACCCTCCATATATCTTCCAACACACCCATCTCTTCACAGTCTGTGAGGAGTTACTGAAACCATGTTACAGTAGGAACACTTCTTGTAACACAACAGAAGAGGGAAGAGAAATCTAGTGTGAAGACTGGCCTTGCCTTTCCCAAGTGAAAATGAACTCTCATTCCTTAAAACAGGCAGCACTCTCAACTACAGTCAGGCCCAGCTAAGCATAGCTACGTGATGTTAGTGCTGCCAAAATCACCAGAGTAAGACCGTGCCACACGTTCCTCCCACCGCCTGCACCCCCAGAGCTAGCAGTTTGCCATAGTGCTGGCTCTCAAGCCACAAACTAAGCTGCAATGCTTTTAGCTTGGCAAATATGCCGTTTCACGTCTCATACATTGGCCATCATTACAGCAAGCTTTTCATTGCACTGCCTCTCCCCTTCATAGCAATTGATCTTCCTCTACTATTCATAGCAGCAAAGCTTGTCCATACAAAAACACCATCAGTGGCAGTACTTCCCTTGGCACTGACCCAAAGTCCGCACCGATTTGCTCCCTAACCCTGAGTTGCCGTTCCTAGGAGACAGAGTTACAAATCTTTATCAAAGCAAACCCAGCCACCTTGCAAAGGTGTTTACTTTCATTTCAAAGGGAAACATTTACAATGAGAACTATATCATACAACCTAGAGTACATAACTCCCATGTAACTTTCACAATATCCAGGACACTAAGAAAGGGGAGAAAAAAAAAAATTACAAAATGCTGTGTACTGTTAAATCATATTGTATATGTTGTAGGAGATTTTGAGTATTGGGATTTCAGCTCTTAAGACAAAAAGTTCACTATTATTTTCTGTAAGAATCTACAATTAATGTGCCTTCTCAGAAGGCTTCATGAAACACTTATTTCTTTGAAGTAACAATATCTGCTTTTTATAGGACCAGTCTTCATTTCCCAGTTACTCCCCACACATCCTGCTACTTGAGTAAACGCACTGCTTCTCATCCTCATGCAGTCTCAGAGCACAGTGCTACCACACTGCAGAGAAATGCCAGATGAACACGGATGTGCAGTCACTACTGTGTGGGTCTGCCTCCCAGAAGTGGGTGAATTTTTCCTAATGATAGTTCTCAAAGAGAAGGAAATGTAGAGCAGGCGGTAGGAAACCTCAGCCGCCACACAGCTCCATCTGTAGCCATGCTGCACAACACAGCTCTCCTAACTCCCAGTCTAGTGCTTTAGAATTTGAACTACCAAGAACTTTAAGATCGATATCATTTCAATTGTATTTTCCTCAATTTATAGACTAAAAAAATTCATATTCTTTGTTTACAGACAAAGCTTTTCTCTATTTTTTCTTTTTTTAAATTCCAGATATATTAAAAATAGGTCATCTCATTATTTTTTTCTGGTCTTTTTTCCCCACTTAAATTTATCAGAGTAACAATAGAATACTATAGAAATTCAAGCTTTGCAGTCCTAAACATCAGGGGGGGCAGAAAAGCAATGCCTGCCCTAGAGAAGTTTTATTTTAAATAAACAGAAAAAAAAGAGAAACTGAGGCATAAGATTATAAAGCAACTTTCTAGCACATACAGTAGATCAAAAGCACAGCCCTCCTGGAGGTCAGTCTAGCAACCCACTCATGAGACAGACTGTCAACTTCTGCAGGCATTCTCGGATAGTCCTAGTTCCTAACTCATTACTTTACAGAGTTTTACATAAATGCTTCTCTTCCTGAGGACACTAATTAAGTAGGTACTATCAAAGGTAAACAAATAGGTTTAAAGCAAATAGCTTAAAAGTATCAGCCAGTTCCACTTACTAAACTTTCATGTCTTCAACTTCTGCAGTTTCATCAATTTTCTCATACCCACAAAAT